CGCGACGACACCGACCAGCATAACGACGTCACCAGGTACAGTACAGGGTGTCTGGAAAAGCGTCGGGACTCGAACGCATCTTCTAGTCCTACGGTCTACCACCCAATCGTCAATCGCAAGCACGGCGCCCAGCCGCGCACCAAGGGCCACGCGCGCGCCCAGGACCACAAGCGCGAACAATCTCGGGAGGCGCCCGGCAACTGCGCTACCAGCGCCTTCCTTACGGCGCAGCGCATGCGCCGAAAGAGCAATAGTCAGGTAAAGGAAGGTCGCGTGCCCAAGGCAGTCAAGTAGGTCGTCGAGTACCGCTGCGACGATTGCGGCTCCGACCTCGCCGGTCTGGCCCCCGGCCCCCAGGCCGATGGCGACCCCAGTCGCGCCGATGAGTGCGACGACTATGACCTCCTTGGCAACCTTGCCGCAGGTGTGCCTATATGGTGGTCCCAGGGCTCGTCGGCCCCAGCGCTAGATGGAGATCGCCACGCGGCCAGTGCGCAAACGGCGCAGCTCGCTGAGTTGGACTCCATTCACCATCTCCTCACTTACTTCACCTCACTTGACTATGTCGTCGCCATCATCGAGATTTTTGGTGGGGGGGCGCTGGCCAGCAGACTGGCCGTCCGCCGCCGCTTCAGAGCTGGTGACACGTTCGACTTGGTTGCCGGCTGCGACCTCAACAATGAGAGCCAGCAGCGAGCTGTAGAGATATGCGTGCCACAAGACTGGCCTCCAGTGGTCATTCTGGCACCAACCAGGCCCTTCGGTCGTTGGGAGACGTTCAAGCACAGGCAGAACTATCACACCTGGCTGCGCTTCTACGAGGGCGCGGCCCCACCTGGCCGATTCGGCGGCCACATTGCGCAGCTGCAGATCGAGCTTGGCGGCTACCTCGTGAACGAGCAGCCCGACCCATCGTGGCCGCGCGACGAGCCGCCATGGCCAGTGTTTTTGGTAGCGCCTGGCGTGGACAAGGCCGTGTTCGACCAGCGCGGGCTTTGGCGGATCGCGGCGGAAGCATCTCGAGAAAGACCGCCAGGTTGTTCTCCAACGCCCCGGAGATCATCGAACAGTCCGCCAACCTCAAGTACCCGGGTTAGCACGCCCACGTCCACGTTGAGGGTGACAACAGCACGGCGACAACGCGCTTGTTCCATATAGCGACGTGGTGCCATACTACGACGCGCGCTTCACACTGGGGGAGAGCAGCCAGAGCGCGAAGGTGTCACAGCGAACTCCGACTCTTTGCTGGCTCATACCATCTTTGATGGCAGCGGCCTCGCCCGCGTAGGCGGCGTTGCATCATGCATCGTCGTATTCGGAGGGCAGCCTTCCATGCTGCCACCACTCGAAGCAGACGGAGAGGGCGAGGTACCCCGCGCCTGCGGCACCGGCGCTTGCCCTGCTGGTGCGGAGGTGCAACCCAGAAGACTGCGGCGGCGAATCCGAGACATCGCGCTGCAACGCGCGATCGAGGCCACGTCGATCTCGCGCGTAAGCCGCGCCATTTGAGCACGCGCCGCCGAGTCTGAGGGCCGCCCCCCAGGCGCGAAGGACGCGTCGGGGTGGGCGGGCCTTTGGGCGGTCAGGCCCGTGGGCCCGGCTCGAGGCAAGGTGGCGGCATGCACCGCCGAGCCGACGTGGTCTCCAGACTGCAAGACGTCCGACCCTTCATCGGCGCCGTCCTCGACAAAGCGGGCACCGGCCTGGCGCGAGCAGGCCTGGCCTGGGACCGCGCGGAGCACTTCCTGGGGCAAGTGCTAGCCTCTGGGGCCGCCAAATTCGGCCACTGGGAGGGCGTGGCGGGCGCGCAGATCACCGCGCAATCGCGGCAACGCCCCAGCATCCTCGAAGCTCTGCGCCATCTGCCACGCAGATGCTTTCCGCTGCCAGACGCGCGCGCCATGCGTCTGATGCGCGGCCAGAAACCCGTGGGCGACTGGCCGAGCCGCGCCCGTTATCTAAGGTATGTGGTGGGCCCCTTAGAGCCCGGGGGACGCGCAGCATCCATCGGCTTATCGGCGAGCTGTGGAAGGAATCTCGCATCATCCAATTCATCTTGGGCGACGAGCCGACGCTGGCAGCCGACGCTGGGCAGGGCCCAGACGGATCGCGCGATGACTGCGTCATCGACGTTCCCGAGGACGTGGAATGCGCCGCTTGGGGGGATCCCTATCATCCCTGTCGGCTATCCCCGAGGAGACCGACAGCGATCTCCCCAGCCGCCCAACAGGCGATGCTGGCAGCCTTGCGCGAAGTCGAGGGGCCAGCAGAGCTGGCCCAGGGGCTGGAGAGACTGGAGAGCGCCGACAGTCAGCGTGGAGTATTCACTGCCGTCGAGCACGCTGCGGCCAGTCTTGGCCGCAGGCCCCGCGAGTGGCCCTAGCGCCTCGAGACGCGGCGCCAGCGTCAGAGCATCCACGCGCAGCGCCGCCACTACCTGCGGGGTGCCTCCATAGACGATTACGCCACGCAAGAGACGGAGGGCGAAGGGGGAAGACGCGTGGAATTGCACCTCGGCCCAGGGGTGCGCGAAGCATTTCTGAGCTTCGACGAGGCAGCGTCTGGTGACTGCGTCGCTGGCGTTCCCCAGTCAGCCGTGCTTGCTAAGTATATCGCCGTCGAGACCGCGGTCATCAAACGCGACGCCGACCGGTCCAACGTGGAACTGTCGAGGCTGCCAAAGGAGGTTGCAGTGGCCAGGAGCTCACCATCTGGGCCAAGCACAAGTGCTTCGAGAGGCGACCAACCAGGGGCGCCCGAGACGTCATGGACTCCTGGCGCGTCTTCAAGTGGGGGCACCAGAGGGGGCCAGACGGCAAGACCGCCAGGATTACCAGTGCCGCACGGTGCTGAGAGGCCTCCGCGACATGGACGCCGGAGCCCTGGAGACGCTCGCTGGGACAGCGAAGCGGGCATCACGCGCACGCTGTCTCTGGAGGCGGCGCGTCGCCCAGGCCGGGCGCGCGACGCTGTGGGCTTCGAGAAGGCGCCCTTGCTGGGCATGACCTACGCCGAGATACAGGAATAAGGCGAAGCACTCCGCGAGGTGAATTTCGCCCTGCCGCCCAGCAGCACAGCCGTCCTAGGGCAGGCGCCTGGTTGCGAGAGCTACGACGAGCGGGCCGAGTGCTTGCGCTGCATCAAGCCAGGCACGGGCTGCAAGGACGCGCCCAGAGCCTTCTCCGAAGCTCGCCCGGGTCGTGCGCTCGCCGGATCGCGGGGCCCAGAGCTCGAGGTCAAGCATGAGACGTCTGGCGCTTATGGTGCTAGCGGCTCGGAACTAGCGCTCGGGTTGCCCGCGCGCGTCGACGACCTGAAGATCGCTGGGCGCAATGAGCGCGTCGGCCGACTTATCGGCCGCATCGAGAGAGCCTCCGGCGCGATACAAGTGAGCACGACGACTCCGCCCGTTGCGGGGTGCACCAGCATCGCGGCACCGACGGCGCCGCGGTGCTAGACCAGGGCGAGTGCGTCGACGCCCTGACATCGGTCAGGCACGTCGGCCTGGCCAAGGCCAATGCCGACGAGCCGGCCAGGAGGCAGCTTCCAGACCTCCTTGTCTCCTCTGGGGGCAGCAGCTTACGCTTTTCTCGCCCGGCACCGGGTCGCAGCGTGCATCGTCGCCCAGCAGAGAGCCAAGAACAAGCTGCTCATTCGCCACGCGACGCAGCACTTTTTCGCCGTTCTTGCCGCGCAGAAGATCAAAACGCGCATCGCATTCCCAGCCGTGGAATGCGCCGGGCAACTCTGCGCGCGCAGCGACGGGGCGTTCAAGAGGGAAGATGAGACAGGATGCGGCGCGAGAGGCGCCGTGCACGTGCGTCTGGGCAAGTGCCGCCACACTGGCAAACCGGTGTGCCACTTTGCTGAACGCCGTGGGCCGGTCGCACATCATCATTCGGCTCAGAGCTGGTCGCAGCATGAGGGGCAGCAGACGGCTTGCAGGCGCACCTCACGTTACACGAGATGGTGCACGGCCCCGCCTCAACTAAACAGATCGGGAGGCCTGCAGAGCTAATCGTAGACGGCATGTCCGTCTTCAGCGCCTTTGCCATGGACTTAGTTCGGCCACTTTCCGAGAACAGCATGGCTGGTCACTTAGAAAAAAAAAAGCTCCGCACCAAGCAGATCGAGGGCATGCTTTGGTGCGACACTCCGGACGTGAGGGCCGACCCCATGACAGCGGGCAACATCGGCGGGGAGTTCATCTTTAACGTCGGGGGCGGCCAAATCAGCTACGACCACAAGTCCGTCAAACTGAGCGACGAGAGTAACAATAAGACCGTCCCGAGAGTAACAATAAGACCATCCCAGCGCAGCAGTCTCACCCAGATGAAGGGCGATCAGGGCGACTGATTCATCGGATCGCCAAGTTTCGCGGGCAATTGCAGCCCGGGACAAGATGAAAGTTCGACATGCACGTGAGTGCTGCTCCCGCCGACTGAGTCGGTGGAGCAGCACCATCTATGAGGCATTGCTCCATCGATTGTTAGCTGCCTGGCAACGGTCATTAAAAAGGGCGGCCAGTTGAGCCTTCTGTGCTTCCGTACCGTTGGGAAGGCGCTGTCAGTAGAGCACCAGGCCGAGGCCTGAATTCATGTTTCGTGAGTTCCCCTGTCGCTTGCGCACGGCAACCGACGAGGCACAACAGACTCGCTTGAACATCAGAGTCGAACGGTAGTCCCTCTTTTTCACCCCTGGTTCGCTTGGCCTGCTATGGTGTTTCCACGGGGGTTTGACTCAAAGTGCGTACCTTGCGTGCCCGCCGTATTCCCGCCTCACGCACGCCTTTTTCTGTATTCCGCTTGCAGAAACGTCCGCCGTCACACATCACTATCTACATCCATTTCTCAGGTTTCCTCCTCCTCTTCCTCCTCTTCCTCCTCTTCCTCCTCCTCCTCCTCCTCCTTCCCTCCCCGTTCGGCGACGATGATACGACGACGACGACGAGCAGTCGCTCTCTTGCCCTTTCCTGCGCCCGGCTGGCCCGGCCGCGCCAGGCCCTCGCGCCGGAAACGGCGGAGGCCCTCCCGGCGCCGACGGGGGCAGGGATTGAGGGAGGGGGGGGGGACAGCCTCGCTCGTCGTCCTCGGGAATTGTCGGGAGGTTCGCAGAAATTTGCGATGGTTCTCGGGGCCCGAGGTGGCCTCTGTCAGCTGCGCCTCGTCCAGGGCGTTCCGGGGGTGGATCTCCTTCTCGAGGTGGGCCGCGCGCCCGGCCAGATCGTCCCGAACGGCCGCCAGAGGCCCGAGTTAGGAACCGAAAGCGCCCTCGCTGTGCCCCGGGGCTGTCAAGAAACGACCCGGGACGAAAAACCGATCCCAGGGATGGGGTCCATTCCTGTGGGGGTCCACGTTGCGAACAAAATCCGGGACCTCCTCTTCCTCCTGCTTGGGCTTACAAGTGTCTTGGCCACTTCTGTGGCGACGGCATTGCGCGTCGGAGTTTTAGTGTCCATCGACTTGCGGTGGCTGACTCGTGCAGGTGATCGTGGGGAGTTTGCGGCGAAAGCCATCCTCTTTTCCTTTTCCCCATGAAGAAAATCCCCCCTATCACACCACCAGACGTGTCCGCACATCGGGCCAGGCGTTTCGCTCGATATGCGATCTGTTATTTTGTAGCAACAAGTCAAGCCGTTACAATGATGAAGAGTTGATCGTTTCCCACATGCCGTTCTCGCCATAGCGCCGCGCAAAACCGTTTTACACGTTTCTAACACAGTTGCAAGGAGGGTCATTCAGTCGGTGTCGCGGCATTCGGTCTTCACCACTGCGGTTAAAGCCTCTGGTCCAGTGCCACCGGGGAGAATTGGCGCGCTGTTAGGGGCATCTTCCCGCACTGTCGCCATTCGGCAATCAAGCGCGCGCAGTGCCTCTAGTTCTGGAAGTTCGTTTTGCATCGGGCATGCATTCGCATCTCATCGTGCGCCAGTCTCCTGAATGAGAGCGAGCTTGCCAGAGGTCGTCTGGGGACGCCTGTTTGGGTCTCTTGGGAGCCTGCTTGTTGTGTTCGGACGATCTTGGAGGGTCGTGCGCCCTTCAAAGGGGTAACTTCACCACAGAAAGGGAGGGGGACGGGGAGACGGGGAGGAGGCCCCGTCCGCCTCCTCTTCCTCAAGACATTCCTATTGGCTAGGCGGCGGCGTGCTCCGAGCAATGGCACCCTAAGGCGTCGTACCGTCGGCACGGGCTGCACTCGACGAGATCGACCAGTCTCGGCGGGAGTGGCTGAGGAGGGGGAGGAGAAGAAGGAGGCAGGGGATCGGAGGCGGAGGAGGAGGAGGAGGAGGAGGAGGAGGAATACCGACATCACCTAACGAGATCACGCAGCCAGATCTGGCATTGTACCACTGCGCTGCGCACCAGGTGGCACGGTTGCGAGCTCATGGAACATAAGTTACAGGAATTCGTTTGTTCAGCCCTGTAGCCAAGTCGAGCTCGCGCCGTATTGGAACAAGAAGCTCAAACAACTGCCCGCATTGCCGTCACACTGTAGCCGAATAAGTGCCACCAAGTGGCAGCTGCCAGTCCAAAGACGCCCGCCATCAGCGAATACGCAATCATGATGCAAGGGACAGCTCCCGATGTACTGTTCCAACGGTCTAACGTCTCTGTGTGTTTCGAAATTCGCAGTACTTCAGCCTACGCTCCATCCCGAATGCCACGTTCCCGCTGGTCCATGGTCCGCACTCGCACACACGTTGCAGACCAGACGAGACAGACAGCGGCCCAGCACTTCATACCGAACTCCACGTTTCCGCTGGTCCATCGTCCGCTCTCGCACACAAGTTGCAGACCCAGACCATGCGAAACAGACAGTATAGCATCATGAACAACGTCTTGTGATTGGCCCCGCGGGAAGGGGGGGCAAATCACATGTTATAGGTATGCGCACGAGACACGCTGTAGACGAACTGATACCGCAGAAACAATGCGTGAGAGCATATTTTCAGACGGCCCTCCACGGAAGCACCAAGGGCATTGGCACACGTACTGCAGTCCACATGCGCTCACGTAGCCGCGCTTTGAATCGGTTAGCGCTCTCCGCGCCGCGCTCCCAAGGAACGAGGAGTGGCCATGCACCCCGAGGGGCGCGGCACGCTTGATGCGAAGCATGTCTGCAAGGCTGCACATCGCGGCCCCTGTGCGTCTCCTCCTCCTCCTCTTCCTGTCTTCCTCCTCCTCCTCTTCGTTTCCTCCTCCTCCCCCTCCTCCTCCCCCTCCTCCTCCCCCTCCTCCTCCTCCTCCTTCTCCTCCTCCTCTTCATCCTCTTCCTCCACGAGGCCATCGTGCGCGACCTCGACAGCAAAGGTACGGGGGGCATCGAGCTCGCGGAGTTCACGGAGGCTCGGGGCTCGTTGGGCCGAGATGGGTCGGCCACGATGGGAGGCGGGCGGGGACTGGAGGAGGCGTGGCTGGGGCAGGGGCAGGGGCACGGGGAGGAAGGATGACGGAGAGGATGGGAGGGAGGAATGGGAGGAGGAAGAGTTAGGAGAAGGAGGGAGATACAGTTGTGAGCAGCATGATGTGTGCATTGTTAGGGATGGGGGGGGGAGGGGAGGGGGAGGGGGAGGAGGAGGGGCAGGAGGAGGAGGAAGGAGGAGGAGGAGGGGCAGGAGGAATACGGAATACGGATCGGTCTGCCTTCACAGAGAACCAGGAGGAGGAGAAAGAAGAGGAGGAGGAGGAGGAGGAGGAGGAGGAGGAGAAAGAATAGGAGGAGGAGGAGGAGGAGGAGGACGACGACGACGACGTCGAGGAGTACGAGCATGAGGAGGGAGATGAACACTGAATACGGATCGGTCTACCTCCTCATCGAGGAGGGAAAGAGAGAGGAGGAGGAGGAGGAGGAGGAGGAGGAGGAGGAGGAGGAGGAGGAGGAGGAGGAGGAGGAGGAGAAGGCATTTTCTATGGCCCCTGTCGGTGGCGCACCGAAGGGGCAAGCGAGAGGCGGCAGGCCTTCTCAGAATGCGGCGGGGCTTCTCAGAAGCACTGGCCTCCTGAGGAGCCCGCTCCGGCCTCGGTGAAGGCCGAGAAAGCTTCCCCGAAGGGCTCTCGGCCCTTTGAAAGACGGCCCAGCCAGCATGCCCTGCCCCCTTGGGCTCGGATTGTGCATCCAGGCAGTGACCGTCACGGACACGCTGCTCGCAGCCTTGGCGCCTTCCTGCTCGGGCGCGAAGCCCCTGGCGCAGGGGGTTGCCGGCCACCGCCGCGCGGGGCGGAGGCCGCGGCGGCGGGAGGCAGCTTCGGCGTCCCCAGAGTGGGGAGATTGAGGAGGAGGAGGAGGAGGAGGAGGAGGAGGAGGAGGAGGAGCAGGAGGAGAAGGAGGGGGAGGAGGGGGAGCAGGAGAAGGAAGGGGAGGTCGAGGAGGAGGAGGAGGAGGTCGAGGAGGAGGAGGAGGAGGAGGAGAAGGAATGGGAGGGCGAGGAGGAGGAGGAGGAGGTCGAGGAGGAGGAGGAGGAGGAGGAGGAGGAGGAGGAGGAGGAGGGCGAGGTCGAGGAGAAGGAGAAGGAGAAGGAGAAGTATGAGGCGAGGTCGAGGAGAAGGAGAAGGAGGAGGAGAAGGAGGGGGAGGAGGGGGACATCTGATGCTGCGGCTGCGTTTCTTGTTGTTGCTGTAGACCCGTGGAGTTTTGAAGCTCCAGCAGCACTATGACTGCGGCCTCCCAAAGCAGGCCGCTCCTTGTTTGTTGTTTGTTTGTTTCCTCTCTCTCTCTCTCTCTCTATATATATATTAACTCCGCTGCTCATCAGCTTCTTTCTCATCATCAGCATCACCACCACCATCACCACCACCACCATCACCATCACCATCACCATCACCATCACCACCATCATCACCACCACCAATGGCACCAACGTTATCACCACCACAACCATCACCATCATCATCATCAGCAGCAGCATCACCATCACATCAATGATCAACATCACCATCATCACCACCAATATCAGCAGCTCATCATCATCTTCACTATCGTCATCACCACCACCACCATCACCACGACCATCACCGTCGTCCCTATACTTATCATCAGCGCAATCATCATATCATCATCATCATCATCATCATCATCATCATCATCATCAGCATCATCATCATCCTCATCATAATCGTCATTCATCAGCATTATCCTCATCATAAGTATCAGCATCGCAATCATCAGGATGCGACCGCAGAGGACACCGTCATGACCAAGAGCGCTCCCACCGCAGCGCCCGCGGAGAGCTGAGAGGCAAAGAGAAACGGCAAGTTCGTCATTCCCGGTGATGTCATGGTTTGGACCCGCCTAGAGAAGGCGACTAAAGCTGGGAAGTGCGAGATTTTTGGCATGGCCGTGACCGGAAAGCAACGCCGGCCAAGACTATCGTGGAGGCACTCTCCGCGGGGGGGAAAAAAAAAAGCAATCATCATCATCAGCAGCATCTTGACCTTCAGTATCGTTATCACCACCACCATCGCCACCACCACCACCATTACTATCACCATCACCATCACCACCATGACCATTACCATCATGAACGCCTCGGTACTTCGTCATCCTTTCGTCGGTGCGCAGCAGGAGGGAGATGATAATGAGGAGGGTCGATCTTTGGGGCTCACATTCCCCGCCGCTCCGCCCGCGCAGCGGTGGAGGTCGTGCACGCCTGGTGGTCCAAGCGCGGGAAGAGCCCGAGCGGCAGCGGCGCACGGAGGAGGTCGAGGACGAGGTCGAGAGCGAGCGGCGCGTCGAGGTGTTGCGCGGACGAGCGGGGTCGTCCTCACCTGGTCGCGGGACGGGATGGAGGAGAGGAGGAGGAGGAGGAGGAGGAGGAGGAGGAGGAGGAGGAAATATTGTCCTGCGAGCACTGCAGTAACGGTCGAGGTGGCGATTTCTGATGCACCCATGTGAGCTTAAAGGTTGTATATGTGCTTGTACAGTGGTCCCAGGAATGTGCGTTGCTCCGTGGCTGTTTTGACTCAAGGCACCTCTGTATGTTTGGTTTGTTGGAAAACCTGCTGTCATAGCGCTATTGTGTCCACATCGGCCAGGCTTCTGGGAGAAATTCGATTCATACTGGCAGTGGAGCCGGGGTTAGTCCTCGGTTCCAGATACGTTCTGCGCAGATCGAACTCTCACGGCCCTCCAGTGTGCCAAGACATGTCAGGCGCGGGCAGTGCAGGCTCTGGCACCCCAAAGGCAGCCCCAGGATGGATAGACGGGGCGAAGCTACAGCAGAGGCTGTTTCGGCAGCTAACAGATAGACGGCCAGACGCCGCAGCAGACGCCGCTCTTAGCAATGAGCATCGAGGATCTCGGCCGCATCGTCCGCGAGGTTGTACGCGAGGAGCGGAGGGCATCAGACAGAGGTGCAGACCGATCGACAGCTCCCGCAGTTCAAGAGCGGTCAGAGCCAGCGCCGGTCGCTCGGGGATCCGCCAGTCAGTGGTGGAACGCTGACGCCTCAAGATGGGGAGGCTGGGGCCCCAGCGGAGGTAGCAGCGGCGGCGCCTAGATCAGAGATGGCGGGAGGTATGAACTTATCAAAGCCCCCGAAGTTTTTGATGGCAATGAGGATGAGAAACCAGAAGAACATCTGAGATGTTTTCCACACCGCTGCTGCGCTGACTCAAGGGCCCTGAAAAGGTTTAAGCCAAAGTGCAATGGTACGCTCGCTATGCTACAGTCGAACTCTGCACAATCTGCACAATACACAATATGTACAGCGTATATCTCACACCCGTGAAAGAGTAAACAAATAGAACAGAGAGAAACCTTCTCTTCAATATAAGATATGAAACTCGAAACTCCACAAGTTAAACATCTTCTGCACAAACTGCCGAATACTGCATAAGCAAACGGGCATAAACAAACGGCATACATGAAATGCAAACTTGCGCCTGCAAGATAAATGTGAAATGCGCAGCTGCATTGTTATGAACGGCGAACCTACGTCTGCAAACTGAATATGGAATGCACAACTAGCAATAACAACTGAGCGTGCCAAAAAATCTGAAGCTGCGCTGGTGCGTTGGCTCACTCACCGCAGCCCTTGGGGCTGTCGTCTGCTGTCCGATCGTAGCCGTCCTGCCACAGATTGGGTTCAGTCGTCTCCACTGAAACTTCGCCTGCTCGCTTGAATCCATTCGTTTTGTGACAGAATCGCCACTGATCTCCCTGCAGCCGGTAAGTGACCGTACTCTGTACGCCGACCGTCCGCCGTCGCACTTGCTTGTGGTTGCTGCTCGTCTTCTTGAGGTGGATGGTCGTCTCCTTGTCGAAGCTGGTCGCCGCTGTCTCCTCGGTCGTCTCATGTTTGTTGCTTGTCTCAGTCTGGTAGGCTCGTAGAGCAGTCTCTTTGGGTGTCTTCGTTGCCCCGTTTTTGTTAACCTGCCCTGATCGCCCTTCTCCCCCTCTTCCGCCCTCCTGGGCCACTGGTGATATCAGTTGATGGATGAGTGGGATCCCCCCATACACTTATCGCTCGTGCATTTCAAGAGTTGGCAGAGCTCTTGACATCAGTCTGAACGCGTTCAGCCAGTTGTATGTCAGTGGTTTTTCTTTCTCCTCGAGTCAATCGTCTGATCAGTGCTCGTGCTCGCTTGATCGCTTCGGCCTCGCCCCGTCGTTCGACGACTACTGTAAGGGTAACATGTCTGAATCGAGCTTCTCCAGGCGCCGCCGCCTCGCCCGTGGGGAAGGAGCGAACGGACGGTGGGAACTGCGCGTGCTCTCCTCCTCCTCCTCCGCCTCCTCCTCCGCCTCCTCGTCCTCCTCCTCCTCCTCCTCCTCCTCCTCACTTTTTAGATTTTCTTTCCCATCCTCACTCCTATCCTCCCTCCTCACTCCTCCCTTCTGTTTTGTCCTTTTTCCTCCGTCCTTCCCGCTTTTTTCCTGTTGCTCCTCCCTCCCTCCCTCCTCCCTCCTTCTCTCCTCCCTTCTTCCTCCTCTCCATAGTCGTTGGCGTCGCCGTCGTCGTCCACGGAGCCGGAGCTCGATGGCCCCACCCTTCGTTTTCTCTAGCGAGGGGTCGACGCAGCGGGGCAGCGCACGGACGGCGACGCGAAGCGGCGCCGTAACGACGAGATGGAAAGGGACAGTGTTTCGGGTGGACGGCAAAAGGGGGTCAATATACCCAGACCCCTCGAGTCGTGCAAGCATATAGACGGGCAGTTCTTTCGGTGTTTTCGGTGTCAGGGGGCCCTCGTCGGGCCCCGGGCCCGTCAAAAAACGGATCGGGATGAAAAACAAGTCCCGGGAAATGGGTCGAGACCTTTGGGGGCCGACGTTGTGAAAGAATCATGACGTCGGGGGTCTGGCAACGTTGGGGGATGAAGAATTGCAGGCAAGTGGCCCCAAAGGGGGCCCGAAAGAAAGGTGCGCGAAAGGTGCGCGCTGTTAGTCACCCCGCGTTGATTGCCCCCCCGTTGACGAACACCCTGGTGATGCAACGGGGATGCGGCGCCAAGATGGAAAGAAGTGCACAGCGAACGATGGTAAGGTTTGGGGGGTCGCACAAACAGCCTCCCGAGGTAGCCCCGGTTGACCTTCGCGTGCCTTCCTGGCAGCCAGGGGCGGTTCCAGCACGCCAGCGCCACCTCTGAATTCACCCTGGCGGCAGAAGGTCCTACACAGCATGACTGAACAATGGCGAGAGCATGATATTGTACTTTTCCGTGCGGGGGACAGCACGGGAGAGCCTACGGGCGAGCAAGAAGGGAGACAATGCTCAGATGAGGGCCAGTTGAGAGCGGCGTTGGGACAACAGTGGCCCAAATCCGCTCAAGATCGGTCCCTGTCCGGGGTACACACGCAGCAGTTCCCCGAGCTGCGTCCAGCCGCGGTGACGAGGGCCGAGGAGACCCCCCGAGGGCCAAAAAGGCGATCCCTGTCTCAGCTGGCCCGCCTCCGAAGTGCGGAAGAGGGAGACCATGCCAGAGACCATGCGCGAGGCCATACACAGGGAACGACACGGGGAGCCACACGCAAACAAATCTGCACGCAGCGAGGCAGCCAGGCCTCCACCCAGCGCCAGCGGTTTTGGAGAATCGCGTGGGGCACGGGCTGTCTGCGGCCGCTTGCGAACCTTACCCCTGGGTGCTCCGTCGACGGCAGGGTCTCGCAGACCCCCGCCTGGGGTTCGGCTGGCTGCGCGCAGCCGTTGAGCCCCTGCCGGCGTTCCGGCAATCCGACCGGCGTCCAGAAAGGGCCTCGCCTTCGGCGCATCCCTCGCCCTTGGTGACAGGCGGCGGGGAGCGGGCGGAACCCGGCGGGAACGGAACGGCGGGCCCGCCAGCGGAAGCCAGCGGAAGGCTGGCAGAAAACGGCGTCGGATGAGGAGGGGGCGCCAACAAGTCTGGATCCAGGGTTTTCGGAGTTGGAGGCGCGGGCGACGCAGGAAACGCGGCCTCGATTGCGCGGACATTCGCGCGCATGCTGACCGCGTATGGTACTGCGCGTAAGCGCGCTCGTGTCCAATGCAGCGTGACGCGCTGGCGGCTCTCGTAGGCCACCTCGGTTCTTTCTTTCTTGCTCATGGGGATCATGTTCGAAGGGGAGCATTGACTTCGCTACATCAGAACAAATGAGCAAGACTTCGCAACTGCCCTCGAGGTTGTTCCCTGAGGAGGCTAATCCTACGAAGCCGACGTAATCTGCTAAAAGATGCGGTCCACACTCGGACAGCCGCACGGACCCCGCCAGCACGAGCCCGATGCACGCAACACCCCGAAGGCTCGGCTGGCCCCCGGTACGCTGACTCCTGCCTGACCTGGTACCACTTCTGTTCGCAGCTGTCGTGGCCTCCGAGCGTTGGGCGTGGGGTCTCGGCGGCGGGCGGGGCCCGCGTGTGCCGGGCAGGTCCTCAACTTCGACATCAACCAGACGGTGCTCATGATAGACTCGTGCACGGGCGCCAACACCGCCAACGTGAGCCCGCGCGCTCGGCCGCCCGCTGCGACTGCGCAGGCTGCGAGGACTGGGTGGGAGAGGGGGAAGCACCGAGGGACCGGTGTCAGAGGAGGACTATAGGCACCGATGCCACCGCCCTTGCCTCGGTTTCGCCCTTCTCGGCCTCCTGGGAGGCCCTCGTCGCGGCGGCTGGATTCGCTTCGAGATTCTGGTCAGAACGCCCCCCCGGAGAGGCCCAGGGATTAGCAGCATCGGTGTTTGCGTGGCTTCCCCAGCATGTCGGTACAAGCGCGAACTTTTAGAAATCTGCACGGATTTCTTGAGTAGGCGTTGGGCCCCCGCGGGCGGCGCCTCCGGCCCCCCTGGCACGCTCCGCGCGCCAGGGGAGGATGGTCCAGCGCCGGCCTGAGGAATCCGCGCAGACCTCAGAGAATGTGTGCTTATGTGTTTTTTTGTTCACCTGGAGAAGTGGGTGGGGGAGCGAGGGTAGGGGAGGGGAGGATATGAGAGAGGATACGGTATGAACTAGCTACTACCGAGGCGCTGCACCAGACATCATCAGGCTATCCCGCCGACCCAACTCGCATCAGAAAGCTTATTCTTCGTACCAGAGGCCGTGAAAGGGGTGGCTGACAGGAGCTCGTTGATGATCTCTATGTGTGTTCCCCCCAGTCTGTGCGCGAGGCTATGCATGTTGTTGAACTCATGCGCGCATTTGGATAATGGCGTTGACGGGCACTGACGCATGCGCGCGTGGCCCGCAAAGTCCTTCTCTGACAAGGATGGCGCCCATTCAGCGCCCGCGACTGACCCGCACGATGGCATTTGTTACGAATGGTGTCCCTGCAGCTCGCACGGTTTCACGTGATGCGGATCCTTGCAAAACGCACTCTTAGGGTCGACGCATGTGGGCCGCATGGCTTTCACAGAGGTGCGTCGGTCGTCGAGCTCGCGCGTGTGGCCCGCATGGTATCATTTGATAGGGATCCTTGCAGGACGCGCGCGTGATGTCAGCGTGTGTGGGGGCCACATGTTTTTTCAGAGGTGCGGTGCCCGTTCAGCGCGCGCGTGTGGCCCGCACGGTGTTAGAGTTGCGCCGATCATCAAGCAGCCTGATCCCTTGTGCCTGGCCCGGCGTTTCCTGGGCACACCTCGCAGGAAGCTAGCTCGATGCACAAGGTTACACGGGCATGGATGGCCCATTGGCTGCTCAAGGTCATGCTCGAGATATCGTCCACGCTTCTTAGCCGATCATTTTCTGATCCACAGTCTCGGCTGCATTTCATACGTGGGATGGACGTGGGGTGCATCATCCATCACAATCGATACAAAGCACCAAGGCTGGATCCAGCCTCGGCTCTCACTGTATTAGTTCATTTGTGGGATGGACGTTTGATGCAGGATGCATATTAAGAAAAGACCCATCGGAAACTCGATGCTGGATCCGGTCTGGTCTGGCCCAGTCCGGCTTGGTGGAAAGAGTCAAAGGTTCTTGGCGTTGCCTGGACCTCCTTGGTAAGGCTTCGGGCCACGTGCATACAGCTCCCCCAGGTCGTCCCAGCTGGCTTCAGCAGGCCCCCCGAGTGGTCCAGGATGGTCTCGACACCCCAACCCTGAAGAGGGGAGCGCCCCAGAGGCGGCGCCAGGGTGTTAAGACCGCCCCGGGCTAATCGGGGGGCCTTTCGAGGCGATCTGGGCCCCCCCGAACGCTCTCGGCGAGGTGCAGCTGGTGGAGACCATCCCTCGGCCCAAGAACTTTAAAACCATTCTGGGGACCCCCTCAAAAACTCCTCCGTCATCCATCCGCCTCCTCCTCCTCCTCCTTCTTCCCCTTCTCTTCTTCCTCCCCCTCCTCTTCTTCCTCCTCCTCCTCCTCCCGGTGGTCCCCTCCCTTTTCCTCCTCCTTCTCCCTCCTCCTCCTCCTCCTCCGAAGCTCCTCCGAGGAGGGGTCCCGCTCCTTCTGACTCCCCGCCGGCTTCCCGAGCTTCCCTGTGGCGGCCTTCAAGGGGAGTCCCTGGCGCCTTGCGCGCGCATGCTGCTGGATTGCGCCTCTGATTCGACCTCCGGCTGGTCAGGTGACGGGTCGGCACTCAGCGCGCCATACACAGCAGGTGATGATCCCCTAGCGATGATGTTTCGGCTCGGGCGCCAAGGTTGCGGGTAGGCTTTGTTGCCTGTCGCAGTTAAAAGGCAGCAGATACAGCGCAGTACGGCTACCGCACAGACAGTGCGAGAACAAGGACAGTGAACAAGGGATGGAGAGAGGAGGGAGGAGGGAGGAGGGAGGTGGGAGGAGGGATGAGGGAGGATGGAGGAGGGAGAGAGGGAGGGAGGGAGGGAGGGAGGGAGAGAGGAAGGGAGGGAGGGAGGGAGGGAGGGAAGGGGAGGCAGGGAGGAGGGGAGGAGGAGGAGGAGAGGAGAGGAGGGGAGGAAGGAAAAAGGAGGAGGAGGAGGAGGAGGAGGAAGAAGAGGAGGAGGAGGAGGAGGAGGAGGAGTGGAGGACGAGGTTCGGGGCTCAGGGTTTCGAGCGTTTTTGCTGGTTCTCGGGGGGGGGGGGGTCCAGCCTCTGGATGTTGTCCAGCAGCTGCGCCTCGCCGAGAGTGTTTCGGAGGTACCCATATCTTCCTGAACGGCCACCCGAGGCCCGGGTTGTGGCCCGAAAGCCATGATGATCGGGGGTGGACAGAACCCCCAACAGTGACACGTCGATTAGTGAATTGTCCGTTTTCGGTTCTCGAGAGGGCGCCGTGGCCGTTATTTTCCAGGCCTGCGCCCGCTAGGTTTGGGCCTCAGGTCGTTTTCACAAAACCACGTTTTACTAAAGGGAGGTCTGTCCATCCCCGAGATGAGGAGGAGGAGGAGAAGGAGGAGGAGGAGGAGGAGGAGGAGGAGGAGGAGGAGCAGGAGCAGGGGGAGGAGGTGGAGGACGAGGAAGAGGGAGGACGACGAGGAAGAGGGAGGTAGGGCAAGGGGCAAGGGTGAGGAGATCCCAGCGGCACTCCGGGCCCTCGCTTTCCACCTGCTTGGCGTTGCGCCCGCCTCCCCGCAGCTGTGCTCTACCGTGATCGCCAACGCCGCGTGGGGGAGCATCGAGGAGGACGAGAGCGGAAACCCAGTGCGGTGGGTCCCGGACTCAGATCCGCCCGCGTCTTGAGAAACATTACAAAAGCATGTTTGGCGTGTTTCGGGCTTCAGAGGCCCTCGCCAGGCCCCGCGACCGTACAACAACTGCCTGTGATAAAAAACCTGTCCCGGGGAAGGGGTGCAGATCTCTGGGGCTGCACGTTTTGGAAAATTACGGCGTTGGGAAACGCAGACGTGTCATTTTTTAATTTCCGCGGACTAGCGACGGATCCCGCTTCTATGCGATGTCGGCACGATCCATCGCCAAATTTGGTAGCGTTGGCCTCATGTTTCGAAGGGTGCCTTCCCCGATCCGTGGATCTCGTGGATCGGGTGCCCGCGCGCCAGATCTACGGATCTGTAGGATCAGGAACTTTGGCTCAGCATGCCGCTCCGCCAGTACTGGCCCACCACGATTCGGCGCGACACGCGATCCACGTCCCCACTCCCAAGCGTCCACGTCCTGAGCCTTTCCCAGCCTCCCGCCCCGTGGAGCGGAGCGACACGCCACCCGCTCGCAAGGGATAGCATGTCGCCAGGGCCGCCGCCGCGACACGCTGAGCAAAAGTGCCCGACCGTAGTATTCATGCCAGTGTGTGCCCGGTCAGATCCGTGCGGGGCAGGCGTGCACCCCCGCCGCGCCAGCGCCGGCGCCATCCTGGGCACAGGGGCAGTACCCTCCCGGCCTCGGCCAGGAGGGCGTGTGTTCCCGCAGCGCGGCCACGCCGGTGGAGGGCCACAGAAGCATCGTTGTAAGAGTCGGAGGTTCGTAGACGGGTGGGGGTAACTCGAGGTGGGGCTTGGGAACGAGCCTGCGGCAGGTTCGCGTCGTGTCAACCGGCGGCGACCCCGCCGCCGGCGTTCAACGTTGAACGCCGCCCGTGGCCCAGAATCGGACCGTCCCTGAACGATCCAGCGTTCACGGATAGTCTGATCTCTCAAGCTTGAACGATCCCCGCGGTGTCAGGAACCAACGCCGGGGTCGACACGACGCGGACTTGCCTTACCTGGGTGCCCGCATCTTCTTCATCCAGGGGCCGTCCGGAGCGGTTTGCCTCAGCTCCGCCTGTGCCCCTACCCCCTACCCCCACCTTTTGGGCTGGAACTGTGGCTTAGCGCGTTGCGCCGCCGGCTCTGGCCCACCACGCTTCGGCGCGACACGCCATCCACGTCCCAGTCCCCAACCATCAACTCCCCGAGCTTCTCTTGGGCTCCCGCCCCGCGAAGCGGAGCGACACGCTATCTGCTTGCAGGGCACAGTCGGGGGTTGCTAAAGGCGCCGTGGCCCAAGGTGTTCCCTGCTTTTTGCTTTGATTCGGAGTCCCTAGGGCCATCTGAGCCTCGTGAGGGGTGCTCAGGAGGCCGTGGAGGCCGTCTCGAAAATCCTGGGGGCACCTTGGACCAGGGGCACCTCTGGCAACACCCGATATAGCATGTCGCAGGGGCCGCCAGCGCGACGCGCTGAGCAAACATTCCTGACCGCACGCCCCGTCCGAAGCAGAGGGGCCCCGAGAGTGAGAGAGTGAGAGAGTGAGATGTGATCGGGGCCCTGAGCCTTACCCAGGACTCAGCTCTTCGTGCCGAGGCTTTTTTTACAGCCGCTAGCGCCGAGAGCGGAGCGGGAAGGTCAAGTTGGTTTGCTTGTTGTTGTTGTTGCCGCTGCTGCTGTTGTTGCTGTTGCTGCTGCTGCTGTTGTTGTTGTTGTTGAACATTATTAATTCTAAAGAATAATTATTGTTGGGACCCCTGGTGCGCGCCCCCCCCACCGCGCCTAGGCCGCAGCCACATTTTCATCATTTTCGTGAGGAAGTCTCAGGCAAAACGGGGTATACCAGATCCGGTTGTTTTGTTGACGCCCGCTTTCCCTTGCAAAAAACACTATAAAATGAAATCTCTTGTTCTAACATAACCAAACTTCATGAATCCTTTGCAAAAAATGACACGAAGTGCACACTCGCGCGCTCAAGATGAAATCCTTCCAAAACCTTAGTTTTCGTAGCGATTTTAACATAAAAACATGAAAAACCCAATGGTTTTTCAAAAACAAAGTTTCAAACATTCATCTTGCGCGCTCTTGCGGATTTCTGAGGAAACCCAATATTTTTTCAACATTTCTGTCAAACGGGCTCTTGCGAGCAACTTTTTCACGTGCTTCGAACTTCTGCAACAACGGTTGCGCGCATGCCAGGGCCATCATCCCTGTCAAATAATACCATATTGGACACATTCGTTTTTTCTTCGCGCGCGCACGCCGTCGTCGTCGGCCGCGGGGCCCTGAATAGTAGCCACGGTCGTCCGCATGCCACGAAGTGAAGTGTCCGAACGTCATAGGGCGGGAAGCTGGGTGTGGGTGGTGGCGAAGAGTCGTTTGGAAATTTGGTAGAGCTTGAACCGGCCCCCCCACAAAGTGGGGGTATTGCCCGCCTCCTATGAAAACCCTGGCACTGGTGAGAACGGAGTGTCCCCAGTCTTAAATGATTGTTGTTGTTGTTGTTGTTGTTGTTGTTGTTGTTGTTGTTGTTGTTGTTGTTGTTGTTGTTGTTGTTGAATAGGAGCGGGCGCCGGCCCCCGGCGCGCCCCCCCCCCCCCCCCCCCAACAACAACAACAACAACAACGCCGACGGCTCCCGCTCGAGACTTCCTCGCAATTCACTGAGGTTTGATGGAGTCCTCCACTGGGGCCCCGGCGCTCCCCCCCACGCCCCTACGTCCCCGCGCCCCCGCCCCCCCAGACACTCAACCTTATAGGGGTGCTACCAAAGCTGTGTGACTCCCTTTAGGGATTTTACCAGAGCCGCGTGGATCCGTCTAGGGATCCTACGACAGGTGTAGGGATCCCTATAGGGATCCAACCACAGTTGTATGGATCGTAATAGGGGTCGCTCTACAGCTGTATGGGTCCTTATAGGGATCCTTCCGCAGCTGCATCGGTCCTTATAGGGATTCAATTATATTCGTATGGATCCCTAAAGGGATCCTACCACAGATGTTGAGCATCCCTACAGGCGTCCTACCATAGCTGTATCGGTCCCTAGATCTTACCACGTTTGTATGGATCCCTACAGGGAGCAGGCTGTATCTGTATGGCTCCCGATGGGGATCGTGCCACATCTGTATGGATCCTTACAGGGATCCTACCACAGCTGTGTGGACCCCTATAGGGATCAAACCACAGCTGCATCGGGCCTGTAGGGATCGGACCACAGCTGTATGGATCCTTATAGATATCCTCATACAGTTGTGTGGACCCCGATACGGACCCTGCCACGGCTGTGTTGGTCCATAGGAATTCAAGAGGGCCCCCCATAGGCATTCTATAGGTCACCATAGGAATTCTAGATGTCACACCATAGGAGTTATATCGGCCTCCATAGGAATTCTATAGGCCTCCATAGGGATTCTATATAGGTCCCCATAGGAATTCTGTAGGCTTCCATACGAATTCCATAGGCATCCATAGGAGTTCTATAGGCCTCCATAGGAATCCCATAGGCCCCCATACAAATTCTATTGGCTTCCATAGGAATTCTATAGGCACCCATCGGACTTTTATAGGCCTCCATGGGAATTCTATATAGGCCCCCATCGGAATTCTATAGGCCTCCATAGGAATTCTATATAGGCCTCCAACGGAATTCTATAGGCCTCCATCGGAACTCTATAGGCCCCCCATAGGAATTCTATAGGCCTCCATAGGCATTCTATATAGGCCTCCATAGGAAATCTATCGCTCCCCATAGGAATTCTATAGGCCTCCATCGGAATTCTATAGCCCTCCATACGAATTCTGTATAGGCCTCCATTTGAATTTTATACGGATCCGTGTGGATCCCATACAGGCCGTATGGGATCTGTGTGGGGTCCCATACAGGCCGTATGGGATTTGTATCGGTTCCCATACATGCTGTATGGGATCTGTGCGGGATCCCATACAGGCCGTCTGGGCTCTGTATGGGATCCCATACAAAGGCCGTGCGGGACCTGCGTAGGATCCCATACAGGCCGTATGTGACTTGCATAGGAATGTTTAGGATTCCTATGGATCTTTAGGATTCGTAGGCATTCTATGAATTCCTAGGAATCTCGATTCATCTTTAGGAATCCTAGGAAATCTCAGGAATCCCTAGGAATTCTAGGAATTCCTAGGAATTTCGAGGACTCATCGGAATCCTAGGAATTCTTTTGAATATTTTGGATTCCTAGGAGTTTATGAATTCCTTGGAAGCTCTCGGATTCCTTAGAATGTAACGAATTCCTGAGAACCTCCAGGAGTCCTAGGAATTCCAGGAACCCTAGGAATTTTCAGAATTCTTGGGAATCTCGAGGACTCCTATAAAGGATCCCTATGACTTCTATAAATTCTTAGGAATCTGTAGGATTCCTAGGAATTCTAGGAATCCCCAGGGTTCATAGGAATCTATAGGATTCCTAGGAATCTTTCGGATTCCTAGGGACCTGTATGATTCCAAGCAATCTCTAGGATTCCCAGGAACTCATGGAATTCCCAGGGATATCCAGGAATTCTTAGGATACACATGAATTCCTAGCAACCTTTAGGATTCCCAAGGTTTCTAAGAATTCATAGGAACCTTAAGGGTTCCTGGGGATTCTTAGGAATCTCTTGGACTCCTAGGAATTTTAGGAATTCATATGAATCTTGATGATCCCCAGGAGTTCTAGGACTTCCTATGAATCTCTTGGAATTCCTAGGAATCATATGAATTCCTAGGAATCTCTAGGAGTTCTAGGAATTCGTAGGAATCTCGAGCATTCCTAGGAATTCCTAGGAATCTCTAGGATGCCTAGGAATTCTGAGAATTTCTAAGAATATTTAAAATCCATAGGAATTTTATTAATTTCTGTTAAACTTTAGGATCCCTAGGAATTCCAAAGACTCCCCCGCAGCTCTGGGATTCCAGAGATTCCTAGGGATTCCAGAGGTTCCTAGGGATTCAATAGATTCCTAGGGATTCCAAAGATTCCTAGGGATTCAACAGATTCCTAGGGCTTCCAGAGATTCCTAG